AGAACCAGAGTGCACCGAGCCAAGGTGATCCAGGCTGCAGCCACCAGGAGGGAAACATCCATCAGCGTAGTCAGATCGGTTTCAGAGAAGCAAGACCGTGTTGAAAGCCCACCAAAGCCAGGAGACTTCAGCAAGCAGAGGCCCAAGCACGTCCCTAAGCAGGAGCACAGGTGCCTGCAGCCCTGTGACCCCACGGCAGGGGCAGGGGAGGGACCTGTGCTGGGGAGCAGCTGCTGCTCACACATCCCCGGGGTGAGCTGTGTAAAGCATGATCCCGAGCACCCCGACTCTGGGTGCTGCAGCTCCAGCTCCCACAGCCGTGCTGTGCTTCAGCTGCCTCTGTCCTTTCACTGCTGTGACCCAGCTCCAGCTTGTGAGAATCCTTCCCTTCCTCATGATTCTGCTGCTCATTTCTAGCGACTTTCAGGGAGAACCAGAGTTCTTATGACAGGGTTCATAGAAGTGCTCTTGTGACCCCCAGCTTGGAGCATCCCAGCAGCATCCCAGAGCAGGGTTCACTGGAGCACCTGGGGCAGCGCCTTGGGAAACACCTCTGACCCTTAAAGGAACTGGAAGGGAGTCCTGAGCACAGTAGGAAGAGGGAAGTGGGTTCACATCGTCTCTAGAAGGTTTGCTGGCATGAAGGACCTTCCTTATGACATGATGCACAGCGAGGTGTCTGAGCAATGACCCTTCAAAGGACCTGGTAATGATCATCTGAGTTCTGCAGGGTGGATTTGAAAAATCCACTCAGCAGCTACTGTGCAACCAACACGAGCCACATCTCAGGCATGGTTAGCTGCGACTGGGCCAAGTGACCTGGATGTTTCTGATGACAGAGTTTAAAGAAGAAAAGGAGATCAAAATGCCCAGGATGGTATATAAGTTCCAATATGAGTGCAACCACCACCATTTATTTACAGCAACATAATTGTCTCCAATATTGTGACTGTGAAAGGTCTGCCACCAGCGCCAGGGTTTGCCCCAGAGTGCAGAGATGAGGAGGGTCTGGACAGCTGTGCACAGCTGGAACGGTGCCCTCAGCAGCCAGCCCTGCCCAGGGAAGGGCAGCCCAGAGCCCAGCTGGGACAGCCCCAGGCAGCTCAGTGACCCCTCATGGGTGCTGGCAACTCTGCCACCCTCACAGAGCTGCAGCTGCACAAGGACTGCTGAGCTCCTACCCAGCATATTCATCCTGATCTCACAATCACCTTTTTATATATTATTGAGCACACTGAAACCTAATCAATCATCTTTTACTTAATTGCATCTTGTCACTGCTTTAGCTGCACACGTATTCCTTGATTAGCCAAAACAATATGATGGAAACACCATGAAGAGCTCACTTGATGCATCTGTGTTAGAGAGGGGTTAATTTCCTAGGGAAAATGATCACTGTAAGGTGCATGTAATAAACTGCTGTCATGACCTTTAGCCTCTGAGCTCCCATATGTGCAATCATTGTTTGTGGTTTCCATGGAAGTGCCAGATGCTAAGAATTTTTGGCAAGAGTTTATCAATTTGACTCAATGTAAGATATTACTGTGATATGGCCCATTAAACATTTTACTGTCACCTGACTGGGGACATTCCCTTGACAACACAAGAGTAAAGCAGAAATCAAAGAGGTCAGAGGTTGCTGTATAATCTTTTACTGCAAGGTCCCAGGTTAAAACCACAATGATCACACTCCAGTAGGATAATTTATTCCACAAAAAGAAAGTGACATTTATTTTACTTTAATGAACTTTGGCCTTTGCCAGCTATCACAGGCCCACTGGAAATCCTTGCCTATGCTTCCCTTCCCTGGACCAGCAGCAGCCCACCATGGCATGGACAATGTCACACGTGCCAAGGGCCTGGATGTGTGCGTGTATGTGGCTCCAAAGGTGGCAGAACATGGGGCAACCAACAGCTAAGGCATCATCCTACGACACACCAAGGGAGAGGAGATCGTCTGTACAAGCATGAAAAGAAAGGTGGCAAACAGTCATCCAAAAAATCAGCAAAGAATTATACTTCAGCTATAAATGGGATGTCTGATTTTTTTTCCTTGGAGATGGATTGTTTTTCAACATCCATCCCAGATGCAGAGGTAGAGCTGGGACAAGGCAGTTCTCCAAACTGTAGGTCACATTATAGTTCTCATGTAAGTCCCTGTAAACACCAAAAATGCCATTTTGATCCTGCCAGTAATGAGCTATGAAGCAAGGCCGTGCCTGTGTGAGGAGTCTACAAACTGGTGTGTCTGAGAGGTTTTTCTATGACTGTAAAGTAGCACAGCAGAGGGGAGAGGAGGGAAATGATGAATCCATTGAGATCGGTGGTGACAAATGACAAATGTTTACATGAGCCATATGAAACCTGCTTGCTTCTGCCCTGCAAGCAGTGAGGATCACCTGAGTTCTTTATAGATGTTTGCTATCATGCAGAGAGAAAGGAAATTGTTATTTATTCTGATACATAAGGAAAGGGGAAAATGCCTGAACAGGATGGGTAAGAAAAGAAAATAATTTCAATTTCAAAATATATCCAGAGGCTCACAACATTCAGTTGAAACCACACCCTTGCCAGAAAGCAGGGAATGGTCACTAGGCAAAGCACATGGACACAACAGACCCACCTTGCTGGGGATGGCAGCAATCTGAACCTACAGGGACAGGGACAGGGACAGGGATGGGGACAGGGATGGGGACAGGGACAGGGATGGGGACAGGGATGGGGACAGGGACAGGGACAGGGATGGGGACAGGGACAGGGATGGGGACAGGGACGGGGACTGGGACAGGGACGGGAACAGGGACTGGGACAGGAACGTTCCCTGGAAGCCTCGCAGAGCCACCAGTGCCTTCCCTGGCCGAGGCTGTGTGCAGCACAGGGGACACACAGAGCTCTGAACCTCCAGCAGTGAAACAGCGGCCCCTGGACTGAGCTCTGCCCCTGCACGACACACGGACACACACACGGACAGACAGACACACACAGACACACACAGACACACACAGACACGGACAGACAGACACACACAGACAGACACATGGACACAGACACAGACAGACAGACGCACGGACAGACACACATATGGACACAGACAGACACATAGACACACACATAGACACGTGCACACACACACATGTACACAAACAGACACACAGACACACAGACACACAGACACACAGACACACTGACACACAGACACACAGACACACAGACACACTGACACACAGACACACTGACACACTGACACACAGACACACTGACACACTGACACACTGACACACAGACACACAGACACACTGACACACACACACACACTTAGAGCCTCATCCATGGTGCTCTCGTCATCTCTGGAGTGACAAGCTGTGCACTTACCCTGCAGATAAATCTTGGCTTTCTCAAGAAACCTCCAGCTTGCTCAGTGCACACTTCCATGCTGGGGGGAAATGGTATTTTCCCCTGGGAGCCCTCACCCTGTCCTTCCCAGCCCCGAGGAGGGGCTGCACAATGCGGGTCCATCAGTGATGGGGGGCTCCCAGCAGGGCTCCCCGGGGCTGAGGCCACCGGGGTCCTGCTCTGTCCCCCCTCCATGGGACACCCACAGGGACCCTGCCCTGCTGGCCTGGTACCAGTCCTCAGCCTGGAGGAGTTAGATTAACCACAGCTTTGGACTTGTTTTTCAGCTATTATGGTCAATATATTAAAGGTATTTATTTAAGAAAGTGCCTATCCTGCCAATCTTTCCCCATGAGCTCTATTTTGAACACACCCTATAATTACTGATATTACCCTGGCAAATATTCCCCGTGAAGTTTTCTGAACTGAGAGCCGTGACTGTACTTGTCTGCTTCTCCACATTATATTTATCACCAGGCAATATTTATAGCTATACTAATATTATTTATGATACTCTATGCCCTACAAAAATCTGTATGACATATGCTCCAGCTTCAGCATGGAGTTCAGCTGGGCCATCCCTGCTGTTGGTGTACCTGTTCTTGCAGCACTTCACTGATCCCTCAGCTGGCAGGGCTGGCACAGAGCCACCAGAGCCAGCAGGGCTGGTACCAAAGCCACCAGAGCCAGCAGGGCTGGCACCAGAGCCACCAGAGCCACCAGGGCTGGCACCAGAGCTACCAGAGCCAGCAGGGCTGGCACCAGAGCCACCAGAGCCAGCAGGGCTGGCACCAGAGCCACCAGAACCAGCAGGGCTGGTACCACATTCAGCAGGGCTGGCACTGGGGGATTTGCAGGCCGTGGTAACATTTCAGCTCAACATACCTGAACTTCCCATCATAATTTCTTTCATAGTCTCCTGCTCCTGGCTGGTGCACATTTCAGGACTTCTGGTGTTTCAGGCTAGAACTGTGTATCCTTGATTCTTGCTGAGGCAAGGTAACTAAAGGAGTGCTTAATTATTCCAGATGGACAATAGAGAACAGCACATTTATGCCTCATGCAAAACAAATAAACAGAACAGAATGAAAAACACTTGTTTGCCAATCATGGTCTAGACTTGAAATTTGGCACTGCAATACTTACAAACAAATGTAAATGTTTTAATCTCACACTTCAGAAAAAAATTAAATAAACCTGTCTTGTAAGCACCTTTAGTTTTAATTATTTAAGATCAATACTAACCTAAATGCCTCTGCCCCTAACATGCATCTCCTCTCCGGGGTCATAGACCTTTCTTACTCTGAAATCACTGGCTTTCTCCACAAATACTGTTAACCAGTTTCCTCAGTATTATATGCATAAGGGCTATAAACTAATGAGCAGATCTAGGTTATGTAGAAAAAGTGTAGAAAGGAAACAAATGTTGAACGTCACATTTACATTAACTTCTCACAGTTCAAATGGCAATTTATCCACAACATAGTATGAATCATGCAGTAAGAAAAGGAGGAATCTCCAGTTTCTTTGATTTATTTGTCATATGGTTGACTGATGTCAATATCAGTGGCTAAAAAAAAAAGTTTAGACATCCAAAAGAAAGGAGGAGAGAGAGGAGGAAAAGGTCTAGCTTTCCACAAAATCCATTTCCTTTAAGATGATGAGCTCAAACCAAACCAGATCAAAGGCTGAGGATGAGCAGGTTCTTCTGTTCCTTCCGTGCTTGTCTCGTGGTCTGGCGCCAGCTGGGAATCAAGGGTATGGGACGGGTGGATGTGTTTTGTCTCTCTATATATGTATGTATGTAGGTATTAAAATGTGTACACATACATACACATATATGCAAACAGAGACAGTCTTCCTAAAAAAACGCTCTTTGCAGTCCAGAGGCAGCAGAGTCACTGTGAAGGAAGAGCTGGGCAACATATGGCTGTAGAGTCTGCACTGGAAAAGTCACTGGCTACACACACGCCGGCTGTTATTTTCCTTTATTTTCATGAGGCGAAATAGGAGCTCTGCATAGAGTACAGCCTGTCAATGGGATTTCCTACTCTAGCCTGCATGGAGTTAACTTCGGAAGAGGCAAGAAAACAGTCGCTCAAGCTAGTTAAAGAGGTATCACTGTCGATATCATGAAAAATGGAGTCGTTTCCTGCAAATGAAACGCACACGTTAGGCTGGGTGCTGGCAGCCAGGGGAGGACAGCACACACCACACTGCTGCTCCTGTGCTCACAGCTCATGGACTGCGGCTCTCGGGGTCTCACCTACAGGGACGAGAGCTTGAAACCAACCCGCAGGGGTCAGCAGGCAGCACTGCACCCAAACCTGCCAGGATTTCCTTTCCATTTCAGTCACAGCTGCTCCACGGGCTCTGGCACTCCTGGGAGCACCGGGACTGCCAGGCAGGGTGGGACCAGACATCGAGTGCCCAGGACAGGGAAGCATGGTCTAAGAGACAGCATCACACGGGTCTTCATATGCACACAAGGTCAGAGTTCTACCAGTGTGACAGGACCCAGGAAGAGACCCAGCCTCCCTGGCTTCAACTGAGCTACTGTTGTAAACATGCTCTCCTTTCAGAAAATTCCACTCTTTTAGGGCTGGTTTGGAACAGCACCTTTTATTTCCCTTAGTAACTAGGATTTCGGCTTACTTCAACACTGGTTGGTACCAGAGAAAGCTCTAGCTCACGTCCTGGGGGCTCTGTGAAAGTGTTAGTCTGGTTCTCTTTCCTCACACACTCATCCAGAAGGGCTTTGTGCCATCCCCTGCACCCTTTTGGAGCCCAGAACCTGCTTCCCAAGGAGTTTTACTCAGAAAGCCAAGCCAACCAACAAAATCACAAGCCACCTAATGGCACTTCATATGTCCTCAGCTCCTTACAGGACTCCCAAACTTCCTGGTGTGCACCAAGGACTTGTCCCAGTGGCAAAAGCAATGACACAGACCCAAAGCAATTTCCCGTTGGCCTGTGCACGCTGTGCTCAGGACAGTGATGAGCATTGAGCCTCTACAGTGAAGTGCTCCTGGTCAGCAGAAAGGAGTCTGAAACAGGCCAGAGAATCACAGTCTGAAAAATCCTCTGACATTCTTTTTAAATGCCACACTGCAATTGTCCAGAATCAATAACTGAGCATTTAGTGCTTGTAATGCATTTGATGTGTGGTCAAGCAATGGTGAAAGCAAACCGTCATCTTGATTTGGGACAGAGAATAAAACTATGCAGGTGAAATGTCCTGTGGTAACCCATCTCTTAGTAGCTCAAGAACTGTTCTTTAACAAATCCATGCATCCAATCTGAGTGGTCTTACAGGGCTGCTTATTCATTTTGTAATGAATAGATTACTTCTCTTTATTGAAGGCACTTTTTCCTCAAAGCTTCTAAGAAAAAAGGAAAAATTTGTGAGGGAGCTAGAATTTGGTACTGTTTATTTTTCAGTGTCTTGGACAGTGTTTAAAAAGTGGAGCTTGGAGAGGTGATGTTGCTTGCTTATCATTTATCAGAATTATACTGTGAAATAGTTTTGAAATGTGTCCAGAGCTTGAGACGAGCTCTGTTCTACCCCCTTGTGTGTACAAGAAACTACACACATAAAACTGACTGGTACAAATTCCCTGGTACAAATCCCAGAAAAAATATTCTAAAAGCCAGTAAAGCTGCTGCCCCTGTGGTGTGTGATCCAGCACACGGACCCAGCTACTTGGGATGGGGCAGAATGAGGCATGCCTTACCATAGGGGTTCATGTGGTCGCCTGGCATTTGTGGAGGTGTAAGACCCTGCTGAAATGGGTCTGTGCCATAACTGCTCTGCTCCATTGCTACAATCTGCTGCTGTGGTGGTGCAAGTGGTGTGTAAGATGTCATCATCCCTTCCATTCTGTTGGACATTACTTCTGCAAAGCAAAGAGGAGGCACAGTCACTGCTGGGGAGCAGGGCAGAACCAGTGGCAACAATGAGCCCTAGCAAACGGTCAGGGCTATCCTGTCAGTCAAACTTCCCTCATTTTGTCCAAGCGTAGAACCTCGAGCAATAAGCTGAAAGACTTGTAATTTCTGACTACATAATTGCTGGAGCTTCTAGGTCCTGGATCCTATCCTCCCAAAGTCTGTGCACTCTGTGTGACAGCCCAGTTATTCTCTAAATTCTTCTGGTCCCAACTTTTTTGCTCTGGGTAAAGTGGAGGATTTGAGGCTGCAAGGTCTTGGGAGCTGGAGTACCCAGAGAGCAGCAGAGCAGTCCCAGTGCCTGTGTGCAGTGCCTGCCCCAGGGCCCAGACACTTGTGGGGCACAGGAGGGGCTCTCCGTGCCTTGGCTGGGGCAGTAATGCTGCTGGTGCCTGTGCAGATTCCCAGCTGGGCACCGAGCCCCTCACTGCAGAAGAAAACAAACTGGAGGATCTGTCTAGAGCAAGCCCCCGGGAGATTTCCTCCAGCGCAAACACCTCCATGTGGCACATTTCCACCAGAAACGAGGTGACAGCTTCTGTGTGAGCACCCCCGGGGTCTGATCCCAGCAGGAGGACTTGGGGTAACCTGCACTCAGGCACACCTTTGTGATGGCACAGCACAGGTCACCACAGACCTGCCTGCGCCCTGGGTCTCTGTCCTAAAGCATCAATGGCACTTCCAGACACATTCCTTCCCTCTCACTCGGCTTTTTCACAAATGCCCTACCTTGTCCTAGTCGCTGCGAGTTCTGCTGCTCCTGCTGCTGTTGGTGCCTTCGTGCTAGCTTTTTCATCTGAAAAAAGCAGAACAGAACAATCTCATAGCTCCAAATGCAACAATTTTGTTTCCTTACAGAACTCTCTGCAAACATCAGTTAGCACAGACCGTTTATATTTATGCACACACTGTTGTGGGTTCAGTTTCAATTCTAAGCTTAAACATTTCACTTTCCAGTTCAGATTTGCATGCAAAATTTTCTCCCAACCCTGAGCTGCTTTGAGCATACGAATTTAATGTCTGTGTTTGGGAGTTGCCTTTCTGGTGTGGATGCAGAGCTCAGCCATGGGACTGCTGCAGTGTGAGCTGCACCCAGGGCAAGAGCCCGTGCTGAGGCACAGCCTGCATTGCACTTTGAGAGTGTGACAAACAGCCTACCTTTGCTCTTTGGTTTTGAAACCAGACCTGGACGACTCGCACGCTGAGCCCTGTTTCAGCTGCCAATGTTTCTCTGACCTGCAGGAGGAAATGCTTAATGATGTAATTTTTCATAAGTTAAAAAAAAAACCCAAAAAACACGAATCAGTTTTTTTAGGAGGAACATTTGTGCTTACAATAAAAATTGCATGTATGTAATTACTTCTAGAAAGTAATCATATTTCTGCATGGCGTTATCAAGCTCTGCCTCTGATGATGCTACCAGTTCTGAAACTACTGAACAAAGAGTCTGAGCTGGGGAAAATGACACTAAATTTTACCCATAAAAGACTTCTGTGCAAAAAGAGTGCTCTGCTCTCACCCCAGGAGAACTGCTGTTGCCCCAGGAAGGGGCAGGGCTGTCTGGGGCTGTGGCCTGGTGTCAGGGCTGGCTCGGTCCCTGCTGAAGCACCCACCTTTCTGCAGGGCTTGGAAGAGACTTCAAAGGACGCTTTGAACGCTCGTCTCTGCTGTGTGGTCAGAATTGTCCTCGGTCGTTTAGGTCTCCTCGGGTCCTTCCCATCATCGCTTCCTTTTCCTTGGGTTACTTGGCCTTTGGTGGGCTTGACATCTCCATCTTCATCATCACTTTTGACTGGTGAAAAAAGGAGATATAATTGCACTTATTCCAGCAAGAAAACAGGATGTTTGAGAACTGCTCTTCAGTCAAAAGGTTCAACTATTGTCTCATGGTTATTTGAATAGCTTAAGCATCTCTGGGCAGGAAGAGATGTCTTAGATCTGTGTGCTCTGCCTGAATCAAATGCCTCAAAAGCATAAAAATGTTTTCAATTTTTAATTGAGAGCACGGGATGGAAACTCAGAATAGGCTTCAGTATTTCCAGGAATCAGCACAGAGAGACTTTGTGCCCTTCCAGCACCTCTTGGTCCCTGCTCACCTGTGCTCACGTGTGCTCACCTGTGCTCACCTGTGCTCACCTGTGCTCACCTGTGCTCAGCTGCTCCAATCTCACCACCAGATAAACACCTTTACCTTCACAGCTGAACTCCAGCTTCTCCTGAAGCATTATCTGCAGACAGGTACTACTGCCTGCACTGCTACAGCAGCAAAACAGCATCCAGCAAGTATCACACAATATCTCAAAGCCCATCTAACCAAATACAGTGCAGATTCCAGTTATTGAATACTGTTTTGAATATTTTGAAGCTCCAGAAATAATATTAAATATGATCTTTGCCATCTCATTTCCACTTCCCACAGAAAATATTAGTAATCTCCTTCTGTGCATTAAAATGTGTCTGTATGTACAAGCACAAACTTCTCTTTCTCAGTAAATACATACGAGTTTCTATGTGCTTGTGTAGACCAAAGAGATTCTTTGTATTTTCTATAATTAAATTCTGAATACTCATACAATCTGGTGATATTACATGTGTTAGTATATTGTCCTGGGAAATCTCAGGCACAGTGGCAAAGGTTGAGGGATAAATACACATTTTATTGAGAAAATCAGCTTTCCAACTCAGCATATTTTATTTGACCAGACTACTGATTTTTCTTCCAGAAGACACTATCACATTATTATAGGGACTTCAACACGAAGAAACACACTGAAATTTTTTATATACTGAAAGACTACATTTGGGGAATCAACAAATTAGACTTTAATTCGTTTTAGGGTCTGATTATTATGCACCTAGCAGTCTAATCACCTTTTACTTTAATAAGCATCTTTGGCCTAATGATTAAAGAGAAGTTCAGTCATTTTAATAACCATGACATTATTAACTTTCCAGCATGCCATTTCTAAGGAAAGGTTTGTGAGGATTAATACTGCTCATTGGAGAGTTACTTTTGTGTCCAGTGGATAAATATTTGATTGAAGCAGCACACATTCTCAGCCAGGGCTTTGCAGATCGTGTGCTCTCACACAGACCCCTGGGAGATCAGTGTTTTCACTGTGTTAGACAATGGGAGACAAAGAACTTGTTTAATTTGTCAGCTTGTTTTTCAGGTTTGGGTTTGACTAGCAGACAATAATGAGGGGGAAAAAGCATCTCCAGGAGTAAGAAACTCCCCTTTGTGCCAAAGGGAAATGAAATTGAAACCAAGACTGGTTTGTGCTACCGTGGTAGCTGCTCAGTGCAGATCACAAGGCAGATGTGGTGCGAGGAGGAGCCCAACCCTGATC